AGCTGGGACCACAGGCGCCCACCACAACGCCCGGCTATTTTTTGGTTGCAGCCGTCGTTGTTTTGGCGGGTCCAGGCTGGGGATTCGAACCCGCCACCTTAGGTGTACGTGGCTGGCGCCTTAGCCCGTTGAGCTATAGGCGCCGAGCCTTCTCCAATACTTTCTTAGGAATTTTGTATATATACTAGAAAGCTCATCAAGCGAGCCAGTTAATAATAATAGTAGTTTCCTCCTAGATGAGTTTATGTTCCAAGTCCATGTTACTACACACCCCGATTTCAAGATTTATTCCTACTAACAAGCATGACTTGAAATCACCCTTGTTTCAAAACATAAGAAAAAAATCCCTCAATTCCACATCTCCCTCCAACAAGTACCCCTTCTCATTATCTCCTTCAGAGGACGGAATCTCTAACCCATTATCATAATTAGGACTCTCATTTCCTTACCTCCCATTATCTCGTCAGCCCACTCCAGCTGGAGTCTTCTCTCCCCACTGAATCAGCTCTTAGCAAGGTCACCTGTTCTCTTTGCACCCTCTCAGCAGCCTATGGTGTTTTTTCTTGGCATCTGTGAAGCTCCACCCTCCTGCTCTTTGCCCTTCCCCTCAAGGCCCCCTCCATCTCAGTCTCCAATGCCTGATTTCTCATCCTCAGCCCTCACATTCTGGAGGACCTTCAGGACTCAGTGTCAGCTTCTTTATCTGGAACCCTCTGGTGATACCACAGAGTCTCATGGTTTTAAATAGACATTTTATAGGGTAGTGATTTAGAGGCAAAGGGACCTCCTGTCAGAACACATAGGTTCTCATCCCCTCCACCACTTACTGACGAGGACAACTCGGCCAAGTCAGTAATGTAAGCTGTATGTCTCTTTTCTAATCTGTTAAACAGTTACAGTACCTATCCCACAGGCTACTCTGAGGATTAAATAAGATGACTGACTTTGAACCATGGATGGCACATAGATACCACTCAATATTCCTGACTAGTGTGACTAGAATTGTTAGTTACTGTGACCTCTTAACAGGTCTGTGACTGTGGTCAGTGCTCCTGCATCAGCCCGTGATCTTTATGCATTAAGTCTAGTCTCCTGCTCTAAACTTCACAGTGAGGGCCTCCTCGATGGAGCTCACCTCTACCTCCCGCCATGCCTCTTCTTTGCTCATTTTCTCTGCTTTAACCGCATGGGCCATTTCTCTTTACCTAAAAGGTCTTTCCTTTCTGGACCTTTGTGTTTTACTGTTTACTTGCTGAACCATTTGTCCCCGAGGTCTTACTTCAATCCCCTGGCCAGCATGTGCCTCCTCTCCCCGCCCCAAGCCCTTCTTCTCTTTTCTGGGTGCAGTTCCTCAACTGGTCTCACACAGAGCTGTGTGTCAGGTGCTGTCTACGTACTAACTTTACACCACTTTATAGTTCAGGAAACTCAGACACAGATGGTACATAATTTACTGACATCCCAGCTGCTAGTAAAGGCAGAGCCAGGAAAATCATTCTGGCCTCAAGAGTACTTTTCAGTGTGAAAAGTGTTCAGGATGCACAGCTGTGTGTCACCACAATCCAGGCATCTGGCTCAAAAGTGTTGAACATGTATTATTGTTACATAGGACTAGGTGGATGTTTTCTTAAAGTGACAGTTCTCTAGGATTGGTTTAAGACCTCGAATGGTATGGATCCGTGAAGAATAAGAAAATGTACTGATGGGTAATTTTGAAAATGGTTAAAAGAATCAAATTATTTCAGAGACATGTCAGTGAAGATGGCTCTTAATTGTTTTGGCAAAAACCTCACAGCAAGCCTTCACTTGGGGCGAGTCCCCCATGTCTGGGGCAGTTTTGTTAAGTCTTCAGTGGTACCAGGACATCCCAAAGCTAATTTAGGCTCATTTACAGGAGGTGACCACCTGCCCGGTGGCTCACGCATATAATCCTAGCATTCTGGGAGGCCGAGGTGATAGGATCACATGAAGTCAGGAGTTCTAGACTAGCTTGAGCAAAGTGAGACCCTGTATCTACTAAAAATAGAAAAATTAGGCATGGTAGCACACACCTCTTGTCTTAGCTATTTGGGAGTCTGCGATAGAAAGATTACTTAAGTCTGGGAGTGTGAGGTTGCTGTGAGCAAGGCTGAGGTCATGGCAACCTTGATCTGGGTTACAGAGATTCTGCCTCAAGAAAAAAAAAATGGGCAGTGCCTGTGACTCAGTGATTAGGGCGCCAGCCCCATATACCGAGGGTGGCTGGCGGGTTGAAACCTGGCCCTGGCCAAATTGCAGCAACAACAACAGAAAATAGTTGGGTGTTGTGACGAGCGCCTGTCGTCCCAGCTACTCGGGAGGCTGAAGCAAGAGAATCACCTAAGCCCAAAAGCTGGAGGTTGCTGTGAGCTGTGATGCCACAGCACTCCACTGAGGGCAACAAAGTGAGACTCTGTCTCTAAAAAAACAAATCAAACAAACCAAAAACAAATAAACCAGATAGCTAATCTGTGAATTAAGGGATGGGAGAGACTTCCAAACACTAAGAAATGGAGTTAAGCATGTGTATTGAAGATTCTTCCAAAGCATTATCTGTTTCTGGAGTATTATCCTTAGAGTTTCTCCTTCTGTAATTACCCTATTACAGCCTGTTACTTCTGTGCTTCCTTAGGCAACAGTCCATGGAGTCTCTTCTTGACATCACTGCTTACTGTAGTGGCTACTAGATGTTTCTTGTTTAGTATTTGAGCCATTTTTATTCACTGAGGTTGGTATTAAGTAAATTACAGATATATAAAATTGAAACCCAAACATTCTTTAACATGATCAAAAGTCAATGTTTAATTTATAAATATTATGAAACTCACATCTGCAGATGACATTACAAGTATAGATACCAACTCACTGAACACAAGCATCTATTATGAGTTTATTTTTTTCCAAATAGATGGATGATTCCTGTTGTATAAATACAGCCTCTAACCAGTAGTGGACATACAAACTCTTGACTTGTTAAAATTAAATGAATGTAAACTTTTAAAATGTTTGCTGCATATGAGCCTGCCTCTTCAGCCTGTTGGCTTCTGTGATTAGTTATGTGGTCAATCTGATATATGATTTGTAAGTGGGCTACACACCTATTTAGGAATAGGATTAGAATGAGAAGAATCTTATTTTGTGCTGTTTACCTCAAGTATAGAATTTCACATGGCAGAATTATATTAAGAAGAAATATAACTTACAGTTTTCTAGTTCTGTAAGACTGCCATCTCTCTTTATAGGGCTGTGAACAATTCAAATTATGGTTGGAGAGCCCTGAGGCTTTTAGCACGGAGAAGCCCTCACTTCTTCCAGCCAACTAATCAGCAGTTTAAAAGTTTGCCAGAGTATCTTGAAAACATGGTGATAAAGCTAGCCAAGGAATTACCAGTAAGTAATACAGATTATTTTCATATCTTTTAGTTGACAATGTCTTTAAAATTACTATCATTATTTGAGCAGATAGCTAAATTTAGAGTTTAACGTGCAGAAAAAGTGATCCACAAATTCCCATGTTTTAAAGGGAAAAATACATTTGTATACATAATTTAGTAAGAAACAATTTTCTATACAGCATAAGCATATAATTTAATGTAAACAGGACTTCGTGTAAATTATTATCCACCTTAAACTCAGACATGCATTTTCTCTGGTTGCCAATGCATTATTACTGTCTTTATGAAAGACAGGATCTAACAGCAGTAGGAAACTTGGCTTTTCTACCCTGTTCTCTTTCCCAGCGCCATTTTCTAAAATGGTATTGCTACAATCATGTGTGCCTGAAAATCTGCTATTACTCAGAAATTTTTAATGGCACTGTTGCTCCCTGCGCTGTCTTTGTTAGCTGTTTGCAAATGTGCATTCTCCCCACCTCCCTATCGCTCAGGTTGAGGGCTTCCCCTGCCCACTCCTGCAGAGTAAAGCTGGCCCTTAGGACCCTTACTGGGCATTTAATGTTCTTGATAAAAGTCTGAAGTCCTGTACTCAGAATTTCACAGCCACTCCTATCTAAACAAAAAAAATCTCCAGTTGTCTTTTACTTCAGAGGTTGGCATTCTTTTAAACATTCTCTTTTCTCATTTTTAGCCTCCTTCTGAAGAAATAAAAACAGGTGAGGATGAAGATGAGGAAGATAATGATGCTTTACTGAAAGAACATGAAAGTAAGAATTGAATTCTTTTACCTATTTTACAAAGTTGGAAAAAATTGGGGTTCTTTATTGAGAAGTACATTATTTAATTTGGTCTACTTCTCAACTACCATTTTATCTCAGCTCTGTTTCTTATTGTGAGGAATTAAACACTGCATAAAAACTGTAAAAATATTGCATAAAATGCAATAATGGTACTTTAAAAAGTAAGATACATTTGAAGGTGACCAGTACCTCTGTTAATTTATTGGGGATCAGGGGGAGTAGTTTAGTTGGAGGAATGTCTTCATAATTGTAATAGAGGTAACAGCTCTATTACAGCTTTGATCATGATTGTAAGAGCAGTAGTCAACTTATGGAGAATTTATTATCTCCCTTTAAAATAAAGCTTATGAAAGTGATTAATAATCCACTGGCCCATAGCATTCCAGGTCTGCTGTATACTTATGTGTGAAGTCTAAGAACATGTGCAGTCCTAACTTATATTGTTTTCTAGGTCCTGATGTTCGGCGAGACAAACCTGTAACAGGGGAACAGATAGAAGTATTTGCCACCAAGCTGGGTGAACAATGGAAGATTCTGGCTCCCTATTTGGAAATGAAAGACTCAGAAATTAGGCAGATTGAGTGTGATAGTGAAGACATGAAGATGAGAGCTAAGCAGCTCCTAGTTGCCTGGCAAGATCAAGAAGGAGTACATGCAACACCCGAGAATCTGATCAGCGCACTGAATAAGTCTGGATTAAATGACCTCGCAGAAAGTCTAACTAATGACAATGAGACAAATAGTTAGCTTCTTTCTTTTTTTTTTTTTTTTTATTAAAACTGTGATAAGATTTTGTTACCAAGCAGCATTTGATAAGAGGTCCACTGGTTTTGGTAAACAATAAACATTTTTATAACAGTTGTTGTACAATTGACTGGTGCTCCAAGAACAACAGAACACATATGGCTCAAGCCAGAGTTTGGGGAGGATGAGAGGTGTGGGAAATGGCCTATAATGAAGTGACCTCAAGATCACAAATATTTTTATTAAATAAATTAAATGTATTTAGAATGAAGTTAAAGTAAGCAATATTAAGGGATATGTTAATTTTCTATACCAAATTAGTTTCCTGCATGCTGTTAATAGTTACCAGAATAACACTTTCTGAAACCACGAGTGCTATTCTTACTTTTTCATGCTTTAAAGTAGAGGATCGGCAAAGGATGGTCTGCTTGCTACTGGATTTTGTGATTCAAATTGTATTGGCCCCGCCCAGCTCTGTTCACACATACCGTCTCTGGCTCCAGTTGTACTAAAACACCAAAGCTAAGTAGTCACAAGAGATACTTTATAGCTTACAAAGCCTAAAAGAGAAGTTACTTGGCCCACTGCAGAAATGTTTGCCGACCCCCAACTTTAAAAGAAAACCTCATTCTATCTAGCCTCACAAAATTTACTGACCTCCCAAGACTTTATTTAAATTACCTCAGGGATTACTGTGAAGTTCCAATGTGATGTGTGTGAAAGCACCCTATACACAGCAAAGCTCTACAGAGTAGTGGCTAAAGAGAATACCATCTACTTTTCCTGTTCCCTCATAAGCATTTCCCTTTAGGACTCTGAGATTAGATAATCATTGTTTTTAATTCTGAACAAGGGCTACTGAGTGTGTATTACGGTGTAAATATTCTTGCTTGGGCCTAACTTCACTAACTAGTCAAGCTGTGGATCTAGCACAGCTCAAATGTTAAAATGGCCTCAGTGTTAGTGGCATAGCATATAAGGCACATTCGGGAATCAAGACATTTTTTGGCCTACTCTCCCTTCTCAACACCTTACATGCAAGGCTGAAGTCCTATTTAAAACAACACTGGCATAAATCCCATTTCTACTTAAAAAAATCTCTTTGGAATAATATTTTAGACCAAAAAAGATGAAATCAAGTTTTTATAATGACAAGGAATTACAATTTTTAAAATTCTAATACATTCCATACAAGGCTTTGTCCTAAGCCTACCTCAGGTGGTCTAGAATCTACAGCATCAAGCAAATTAGAAAATTCTAATTGCTAAATTCATGTCCTCATAAAATTGCTCTAACCAAATGAGACAGTTAATAAAGAATTTGCAAAGCGGCATACAAACATAAAGGAATTACAGTTCCCCACTGTAGTCTGCATACCCCCACCCAACAGAGTGCTGACTGCCAATAGTCAAAGTTAGATGAGGAAGATATTTACAAATAAGTTTCCCTGAAATGCTTATTTTCTCTCGCCTAGTGTTCTCAGATTACATCATATTAGATTTGAGAGGAAAATGGCCATTATTCTCTAGGAATCTATAGTCACCAGTGTAACACTCTGCAGAGCATTAAAGCAACCTAAGCAAAGATATGAGATGTCATGATAATCCCCAAACTTTATTTCTATGAATAATGCAAAGAAAATCAAACAAGCTAAAATCCATCCTTTATCCTTTCACTAGCAATCTCTGAAACAAAGATAATTAGAATGTATTAAAATGTAAGAAACCTCTATCATATTTAAATATCTCATACACTTGGTGTTTTTCACAATTACTTTAAAATCACTAATGTTAAATTTCAAAATGGACATTAAGATTTTGAGAATCAGAGAGGAAAAACAACTAAGCCAAGGAATGAATCTGAGATAACATCACTGCATTCAGCATCCAAAGAAGTCTTAATTTTACAACTCTGTATTTCAGTTTAAACATAATACGGGCAGGCAAAGATGGTATTTTTCAATCAGTGGTTAACAGCACCGTAATATCTACCATTTGCAGAAATTATGTAGCATTAAACATATCTGAATCTTCAGCCAAGCTCCAACACTCAAAAACAAAAGACTTGAGGTCGAAAGCTGTTAATCCCTCTTTTTTTTTTTTTATTAAATATCCTCATTTTCTAAAAATAAACACCCAGAGCTTGTCAACATTTTTTTAAGATTACTACAAAACCATTCCAAAGTTAAGTGTACAACCCCTAGTACATCAGAGAGACAATAATAAATGTATAATCAATGTGCTATGCTATTATTGATCACTATTTTAAAGTCATGAAAAGCCAGCAACAGTAAGGCTGGACAAATACTTGATTGTGCCCATGTCTCCATGGGACGGACAGCAGCACTGAGTAACACAACGAGAGGAACACTTCCTTTTCTACCTTCCTGGAAAAAACTTTATTAGATAAGGCAGAGGATGGACAGCTACTGAATGGTGGTGTGAACCATGCGAGAACAAATAGGTAATAGGTGTGCAATAAACATCCGATTGCTGAACCTTGGACTGAAAAGTGAGAAAATTTATCACAGAAGGTAATGGCTGAAAGGCATTTCAATTCATCTTTTTTAAATTAATGCAATAAACTTAAAAAAGGTCTTCTTGTCACCTTTATACAAGGCAGCAATCCCAAGATAATTTTCTTTTATGCCATTTTCTAGGGTGATGTCGTCTACTTCTGCCCTCTTGTTCCGTATGAGGGGAAAAATAAAACCACCTAAAATGTCATCCTTTAAATTTCTGGATTACCAAAATGATCAACAAATAGTATTTATTTCACACCTAAGCATAAATAGTTACAACGAAGATTACTGTTCACTTTCCTCTTCCATTATTTCAACTCTGCGAGGCCCATAGAGTAGAACGTAAGCGATGTGCCAGTCTCCACCACCAGAGAGCCGCAAGATATCTTCTGGTGTTACGATGCTGACCTTATCATCATCAAACTTAATCCATTCATCTAAATAATGAGAAGAAAACAAAATTGATATTATACATGACTCTCTTCAGAGTTCCACTGCAGAACGGGTCCTGAGTGGTTTGACACCCAGCAGCACTCTCTGCCTACACTGTGGCTCAGGCTCCAGACCACTGGAGGGTCTTGAGGTTACAACTATTTCAATGACACTGTCTAAAGCATTATTTTCCTTTTCCACCTTCTTTCTCTTGAGAGGACTTTTGAAATTTTCCAGAGGCTGTGTAAAGTGTAATAATATAACAGGCTAAATGCAGAAACTGATAGAGGAATCCACCTGTTTTTAGTGGGCCAGGTGAAAGAAAGACATTATGTATAAAAACATAAAATAAATACCATTCCTTGCAAATATTTATTATTTTCGAAAATGCCATTTTAAAAATGTTGTTTACATTAATATGTAATGTGTTCGTTAATGTCATTTTTAAATAAATTAACTTGCCGGGGACAGTGGCTCACACCTGTAATCATAGCACGCTGGGAGCCAGACATGGGTGGATTGGCTGAACTCACAGGTTTAAGACCAACCTGAGCCAGAGCAAGACCTCATCTCTAAAAATAGCCAGGCATTGTGGTGGGCGCCTGTAGTCGCAGCTACTCAAGAGGCTGAGGCAAGAGAATCACCTAAGCCCAAGAGCTGGAGGTTGCTGTGAGCTGTGATGCCACAGCACTCTACCAAGGGCGACAAACTGAGACTCTGTTTCAAAAAAAATAATTAATTTTTTAAATTTCTTGTTTGGATTTCTAATTAGTAAGTAATTAAGAGATATGAGCTGGCAGCTACTTTCACAGTGCTCTACAATGCTGCTGTTTTGTGGAGAAAGGTGAACAGACTGGGAGAAATGAAGGTGAACATCTGGGGTACGCTGCTGTGTGAAGAAGCTGCTGCTATCATGTCATGCTGGGAGTAAAACCTGTCCCAAGGATGTAATCCTTTGGATTGAACACCAAGTTTTTACTAAAGTGGCCATTAGCATTATTTGTCTTTTACAGTCACATGGATACAAAAACAAAGAAAATTTGTCAACTATCAAAAAAAGAAATTGAGAGTTACAAATCTCTCTGAGGAAAGCATCCTAAGAGCAGCTTGTTTCTACTTCAAGGATGCACTCATCTGTCCCTCCACCAGACAGCCTGCTAGGCCTCCCCACTGCCCTCCCCTCAGCTCTGGCCTGGGTTTCATCTGCCCTGTGCCCTGCCAGCTGCCCTATAAAGCCTTCTGGACAGGCAGGCATTACTGAGGGTTATGTAAGCCCAGGAGGCCACCCTGGACCCTGTCTTAAAGGATTCTTAAAAATAAAACACTATTTTGTTGGCAGGCGGAAGACACAACCCTCATGAACAAAGTTCTCAATAATTATGAAGATAAAGGGAGAGACCTCCCTTAAAACCACCTCTTTTTGGAGACCAAAGAGTTTGATATAAAATGTATAATACATACATTTTTTAACATTTGGGAAGAAAATAGACTCTTTACCTTGTTTCCTTTTGACCCATGACACATAATGACCCGAAGAACTAGACCTTCCCTGGTGTGTTAACACTGCTTGTAAATCATAGTATCCACAATTATTAGAGCCGATATCTACAGAAAGATATAAATCATTAACATTAGACAATGTGCTTTCTCAAGCGAGGTAACAATCAAGAATAACTCTAAGGGCTGGTGTAGTGGCTCACGCCTGTAATCCTAGCACTCTGGCTGTCTAACAAGGGTGCAAGTGAACTTTTCTAGAACTAGAATGTAAATGTTTTGACACAATGACTATGCAAATGACATGAAATTTATGTGAACCAGCTTGATGAAAGTATTTCAAAATGTATATGAAAACACTACACTGTACCCCATGTTTGCATTAATGTATACAGCTATCATTTAATAAAAAAAAAAGAAGA